TCAAGGACTTCTTTGTGTCCATCTTTTTTCACCTTCCTCCACGAGACCCCTGAGACCCATGGTCCCAATAGTGGACCAGCTCTGATTTTTAGACTTCGACAGAACACAGACCACAGCTGTAAACACTGGTGCTGAAAGAAGATGTAAAAAGGGCGAACAGGGTTTCCTACCTACACTGAGAGTGAACACACAAGGGCAGAAATGGAAGAGTTTATTAAAAAGCAAAAAAAGAATAAAGGCCCTGCTCTAATGAAATGTGAACTGTAGCTTCACCTACAGAGAGGTGAAAGATTTTATTACAATATACTTATTTATATTTATAACAAATAATATAGGCATTATTATAAAGTAATATAAGTAATATAAGCATTATTATAAAGAAAATATCTCCATCTTGTTGAGTTAAAGACCTCAGGGAAATTATGTCAAATCAAAAGACTAGAGCAGTATTACCAGAGGCTGGGGTAGAGATGGGATGCTGGGGAGATGCTGGTCAAAAGATACAAAATTTCACTCAGATAGGAGGATGAAGATTAAAAGATCTTTTACAAAACAAAGCGACTAGAGTTAGTAACAGTGGATTACACTCTGCGGAAATGCTAACAGAGTTTAATCTTTGAATCGAGGGAGGAGAAATTGAGATTTGGGAAAAGTCAAGAAAAGAGAATCTCATCAAAGATGATTGAAAATAAAAATATAACAGAAAGTGATGACAAGTGGGATTCTGTGCACCATGTATGCTCTTCTCCCCACTCTAAATGTTTTTGATACCTAGAAAATAGAAAGGAAGGACTTGTCGCAACTGGTATCACGTTGTGGCCAATCCCCATTGGGAATAACAGCAGTTGCTTGTCTGGTGTAAGAACCCTGAAGTTGGTCCTGATGTCTTCCTTCTGGACTTCTGGCTCTAATGTTAACTCCTCAGGGAAGTCAGGTACTTCCCAAACACAGAGAAGGTCCAATTGCCCTTGGTTCCGAAGGAGAACATGCTCTGCACTTTTCCCAAGATGAATTCTACTTTCCTAGGAATGCTTGCTAACACTCACCATCCAGATCTGATTACCTTCTGTGACCAAGCGGTTTTAGAAGATTTTGTAAAACTCAGCAGCCTCTCACATCCTCCGCGTTTGCACTCACTGTTTGCACAGCCAAGAAGGACCTTTATTTTCTCACAACATGGCTAGACACTGCCCTTCGGTCAAGGACAGGCTCCCACCTGTCTTCCTCTTCACTGCTCACCCTGGCATTCTCTGGCACTCTACCATATAGCTCTCTTTATTTTCATGCGCCAAACCAAGAATATAATGGTAACCGCCTGATGTTTATAAAATGAATAAATTCAAGTCCACTTATACAGACCCCTAGAATATTATGAGTTATCTTCTCTTTAAAAGAGGCTTCTCTTACATGAAATATACTGGAGAGTCTCTAGGGATAGGCTCAGTTTTCTACACAAATTCTGCAATATTCTAAGCAAGTCTCTCTTGACAGTCTTAATTGATTACTTGTTCTCTAAAGTACCCTGTGTTTAAAGCCAGAATTTGCAAATGTTCTTCTGAAAAAAAGAAAATCATTATGTTGTAGTAACTTTTATCCAGTCTCGCAATCTTGCCGAAAAATATTTCTCATCATAATCACACTTTCCACGACCACATCTTTAGAGATTTGTTGAGGCTGGACACATCAACAAGGCTGCGTCTCAGAAATCAACCTAAAACACTGAAAGAAAAAGTGGCTGTGCTCAGTAATTGAACCTTATCAGCCTTGCCAATTAAAACATATTGTGTGAATGTGTGCTTGTGAGTGTGAGTGTATTTTCTTGTGGAGGTGGAAACAGTTTCTGTGGGTGGCATTTACTAAGCATCACTGGATCAATGGTAGAGTTTATAGGCACTTCCCTAACCCCAGGGAGTGATAGCAAATGTCACCGCCAATGGAATCTGCCTAAGTTAGAGCTGATAGGGTTGTTCATTTTAAAATTTTACGAATTCAGAAATAAATTTGTAAAATCAAAAAATCCTCTTATAAAACACGCGGTGTAACATTTAGTGATATTAATTTAAATACAAAATATGAAAAGATTGGGTCTGATTAAGCAGAAGGAGCCATTGAACAATTCAGAGTTTCTGGACTAGGTGGGCTTGGTGTCCTTACACGTCTTAATTAATTGTTTAATTCTGGCTGCTCTCTAAGTGCAATAATTGTTTATTTTATCTTCAAAAGATTGGTTCATGTGTCCTTTTGCCTTACGTGCCCCAGGGTGAATTTGAAGATCAACCGTAAATTGGCCTTTGGGGGAAAGCATCGATGGGGTGTGTGAGAAGATGGGGGTTGTGAGGTTGTCAGTGAGCCATGTTTGTTCCCAATTTGGACAATCGAGCTCATCAGGTCAGATGTGAATCCACGAGACTGTGGAATGTTGGCCACTTGGAGGCGCTGTGGCTTCACAATGCTGCAGGGAACCATGGAGAGGGGTGGGAGGGTGACCAGGAGAGGTGGGTTGAAGGGTATGCTTGGCTGCCTTCTGGCTTCTGGCGAGGGTTTGATTCACAGTGGATCCTGAGTTAAAAGCAAACTCCCCACTGACAGGGAAGAGTACAGGGGCCCGAGGGCTCCATTTGCCTCCGTTTTCTCTGTGTCTACTTGGGCAGTGGAGGTGAAGGGGCTTGGGCCACAAGGGCTGGGAATCAGTGTCAGGGCAGGGACAGAGCAGGCAGATACCAGTAAGGGGTGATGTGGGCAAGTGGGACTGCGCTCCACCCACCAAACCTTTAGTTTCAGGGCTGTGTGGGACAGATGCATGGAGCGGCTCAGCCTGGGACCTGCCAAAGGGTGCAGGGGGCAGCGGTGACCTGCAGGGAGTAACTGGGAAAGACTAGTTCCCATAGAAAACGCCAGAGACATTCTTGCTGCCACTCAGGAAGTGACAATGAAGGACATGCTGCCAGCTAGGAGGGTTCAGGCCCTGGAGAGCTGACAGGCCCTTCCTAGGCACTCTGCACTGCTTCTACATGTCATCTGCCTTAATATTCACATAAATTGTACAGAATAAGTATTATTTTACCTGTTTGTGTCTCTGAGGGAAATCAGCTGTCCTGGGTCTCATATTTAATAAGCGGCTGAAGGCAGAGTGCAGCGGCTCACACTGTGACTCTAGCACTTTGGGAGGCAGAGCTCAGGAGTTCAAGACCAGCCTGGACAACATGGTGAAACCCCATCTCTACTAAAAACATAAAAACTTGGCAGGGGGGTGGTGGTGCACGCCTGTAATCCCAGCTACTTGGGAGGCTGAGGCAGAAGAATTGCTTGAACCCTGGAGGTGGAGGTTATAGTGAGCCAAGATAGCAAGATAGCGCCACTGCACTCCAGCCTGAGAGACAGAGCAAGAGTCCGTCTCAAAAATAAAAAAAAGAAAAACAGAATTAACATTACCTCCAGCAAGACAAGTTACTTTCTATCAGTTTCATTCCAGCATCTCTTCCAGAGGCTGTTCATCCAATTTGGTCAAAAGCACTTGCATGAAATAGTGAGATCAATCTTTATTTAAAATCTGCTCTTTAAGAATGGTCACTTGTTTATATGGTTATCATCATCACTACATGTGGCCTCTTGTCATTTCAGTTTCCCTTGTCCCTTGCTTTCTTCCTTTGAAAACCTTCATATGTCAGCTGTGTGATGCAATGGGGTAGCTACTGGGGACACTGGATGAATAAAACTGTATCCTGGGGTATACCTGTTATGCTCATGGAATTTTAGGACTGAACAGAGTGTTGAAAATAATTTATTTCAGCCCATTCTATTACAGATGAGAAAATAAGATGCTGTATAAAGTATGCAGATATTGACTAAACGGCTGACCTCACATAACATGTGTTTTATATCCTTAGTGCATAGGCAATGTGTGAATTGCTTTTTACTTTGTTGGAATATAAGTATCATGGACATGTAGACATTGTTTACTCACGCTTTGCAGTAAGTATTCAATAACTACAAACAAATAAAGCACGCTTGCAATTCCAAGAAGGACAGTAATTAGTTTTCTTGTGTTTATTGCTGTATCTCTAGTGCCAGCAGTGTGTTCAATACATCACAAGTGAACCACCTGAGTCTATCTTTGGAAAGGCTTCATCAGAAGATGACAACTTTACCAAAGACACGTGTGTTTGTGTGTGTGTGTGTGTGTGTGTGTGTGTGTGTGTGTTGCCTTCCTGGCAGTGGTGGTTCCTGGTGTTCCTCTTGGTAGTTGCCGATCTGGAGTTTTTGTTTCTCGAAACGGTGGAAGGTTTTGTTTATAAATGTACCAACACACATGCCTTTCCCTCTAAGACCCACACTTTGGGGAATTACCCACTGACTTAGGCCACTGAGGGCTGAGTGCTGGACCTCACTGACCACAGCAAGAGGAGCTGAGTCCATACCCCTCCACCAAGGCTGTGGTGGATGGACGATGGCAGAGAAGGGGACAACTATCAGCAGAATGCATAGGGTAGTGGTTCTCAACTGGGGGTGACTCAGTGATGTCTGGAGAAACTTTTCATTAGCACGTGAGGTACGGCTACTGGCATCAGGTGGGTAGGGGCCAGGTAAACTGCTAAGTGTCCTAGGTGCACAGGACAGCCTCCCACAACAAACAGTCATCTGATCTGACGCATTAACAATGCCCAGGTTGAGAAATTCCACACTAGGCACTGGGTTGTAAGTTTTGTACCAAAAGGAGTGTAACCTGTAGACAACTCAAAGGAAGTACAGTCACCCGCTTAGGTTTAGTCTGATTGCCATGTTTACCTTCATCACCACTGATTCCCAGCACATGGTGACTTCTTACTCTCTAGCCCCATCCTGTTTCCCATTAGCTCTACTCCTTGGACAGATGAGAACATCACAGGGAGCAAGGCTGCAGTTTATTCTTCTTGATGTCACAACAACAGAGTTTTCTCCTAATTAAAATCACAGTCATGCATTTTAAGTGGCTGCAGCTGGTACTCAGGTGTCAGATGAACCCATAAACCAATCTCTTCTGAAATAGGAGTGGTCACTGGGCATTAGTCAGATATTCAAATGAGCAAAGATTCAAGAGAAAAAAAAATGTCCTGCATTATTTGAAAAGGAAGGAAAAGATCCAGAGAAGAAAACCGGCCTGACTCTGAGAGAAGGGCCTGAAAGGGAGAGGAAGGGAGGAGGTGGTCAGATTCTGGGTCTGGAGCAGGGAGGGAGGGAGCTGCTGGTGCAGGAATGACTGTCAGAGACACATCCTGGAGGCCACAAGTCCACCTTCTCAACTATTCCCAGTAATTACAAAAACTCCTTTAAAGGAGCAAATGCAGGAGAAGGAGGAGCCATGCTAGAGGAGACCCTGAGAATGGGGGAAGGATTACAGGCTGTGACCTCATTGGCACAGTCCTCTCAGTAGCGGTGGAAACCACAGCCTAGTCTTCTCACCACTGCAGACCAGAATCCTCCCTGGGCCTTGCCTGGTCTGCCTGACTCTGCCATGGGCTGCAGGCTCCTCTGCTGTGTGGCCCTCTGCCTCCTGAGAGCAGGTGAGTCCTGGGCCCAGGTGACATGATCCTGTTGGAGTCCCTAAGCCTTTTCACCATGACGACAGCAGCCTCCCTCCTGGGATTTGTCTGAATTCTGCTTTTTTTCCTTTGCAGGTCCCTCGGACTCAGCCGTTTCCCAGACTCCAAAATACCTGGTCACGCAGATAGGAAAGGAGGAGTCCCTTAAATGTAACCAAAATCTGGGCCATAATACTATGTATTGGTATAAACAGGACTCTAAAAAACTTCTGAAGATAATGTTTATCTACAATAATAAGGAGCCCATTTTAAATGAAACAGTTCCAAATCGCTTCTTGCCTGAGTCTCCAGACAAAACTCATTTAAATCTTCACATCAAGTCCCTGGAGCTTGGTGACTCTGCTGTGTATTTCTGTGCCAGCAGCCAAGACACAGCCCTGCAGAGTCACTGCATCCCTGTACACAAACCTCCCAGCTCAGCCAGGAAGCTGTGGGGCAGTGTGTGCCCCTGCACCCAGGGCTCCAGTCTCCATTCCCTGATGGCCTCTGATGGAGTTTCAGTCTGTAGTGCAGCCTGCCAGTGCACCTGTTGTGGCAATTTTCCATTTTATGTACACAGAACTCTCTCAGAATTCTATTTATCAGCTAAAGCAGGTGTTCATGACAAAATCAGCAATGTATCAGGGGTCAACTAACAAAACAGAAGCCTGTCCCATGCCCTGAAGATCTTAACTGATGGGAAAAGCCATTTCTTGTCTTTGTCTGCTGTACATATGGGTATATATTTTCCGTAATGTTATGATTATAAACACGCTGTTGTTAAAAATGGTTGATGAGCATAAGCATAAAGGAGAGGGGAAGGAAAATATTTCTAAGATCAAGAGACAATTTGGATTAACAGTTCATGCCACCCCAAAATCGAGCTCCCTTTCACTTGGAGTAGGACCAAGTGAAATTTCTTTTTTAACGGAAAAATATTTGCAGAGGCATGAAATTCTATGGCAGTAAATAAACTGGAAAGAAAATGTCAGAAGCCAGTGGAGGCAGCCTTGTGCACTGTAGACTCCTTCTCTTCAAGAAGAGTGACCAGCAGGAATCTCTCCCAGTTCTGATGAATGTCATCTTGAACTTTCCTCAAGAGGAGGTGACAGCCGGATGCCTGGGGATATTGGGAGACATGGAAAGGACTTTGGACACAAATCTCTAGGCAGTGGTGAGCCGCTGGTCTTATTCCAAGTGAAGCAACATGATGAAATTGATATTTTGCTACAGTAACACTGGTAGTAGTGTGGATCAGAAAGGAGATGGATTTTTGGGTGGCAAGAACAATTAGGAGACTTCTAAAATATCCTGCATGAGAGATTAGAAAGGGTTCATGTGAAGCATTGTGAATGACATAGGTTTGAGGCTCTGGATTATGTTATCTCTTAGAAAGAGTGTTGGGTTTTATTCTGAGAAGGTTGAATGCAGGACTTGCTAAGGTCTACTTCAGCTTTGCCCTCCCTCTTAGGGAGCCCCAGCATGTAGTCCTCATTGCTAGTGCATGGCCTTTCCAGGTCTTAGTGGGAATCATTGTGAATTCACTACATCACTCCACTGTAACTGGGTCTGAATGCCCTGTGTGTCTTCTGAAATCTCTCCCCACGTCTTCAGCCTTCCAGAACTTGGTCTCTGCTCAGCCTTCTGGTCTCCCTTCCTCTGCATCCACAATTTATGATCTGGCCCAGGAAAAAAAAGGGGGGTGATTTTTCTTACATGTATTTTTCGGGTTCCTTTGTAGTACTCTGTGTCCTAAATCCCAGCTGTCTTGGAGTCGGTTATGTCCTCTCTATCTTCAATCACAGGTACTGCTGCTGTTTAGTGTAGACATGTTTACCTGACTTTACTTCACGTTTACTATTTCACTCTTCATTCTTCCTTCTTGCAATTCACGCTGTCCTGAGGTCAGTTTCCTTCTTCAGATCTATCCCAAATTCAGATGACTAAAACTCACAGGTCACTCACCCTATGCTTTGGGAAATGTTTTTGTTAGCTATTGACCTCAGGGCAATCAAGCCTCTCATTGTCATTGTTATTCAAGGTAGATTGAATTCCATTTAAAAAAAAAAATCTTTGAAATTTGGTTTACTTATTGGAGCTAGACAACGGAATCACATTCTTTTAATTCAAATTTTTTCTTTTTGGTGGAAGGGCTAAGAACTGTTCCCTTACTGAAGCAGACACCTGTTACAATAGTTTTAATAGTAACAACCTTAGTCTTTAAATCAGGGTTGATTTTAGGTTCTTATCTAAGAATGAAATATCTCCAACTGTAGAGGGTTGAAGGCGTGTCATATATGTGACCTGTTCAGGAGGAGACGATTCAACCACTTTTCTTAAATTCAGATCTACATGTCTTAACAGTCTTTGTTTTAAGGGCCACATAAAAATAATCTGAAACAATTTACACATTAGGAAAATGCTAACACTTTCCTTCTGGCCCAGCACATCTCCAGGTTAAAAAATCTCTATTATCAACCCCTAATTTAATCATGGTAATTCCTTCCTACTCCCAACATAGATTTCCATGTAACTGATTTATAACTACAACCCTTACCACAATCACAAGTGCCATTACAAAATGGTAATAAATATGTACTGTAATAATAAATAGATGGTTAAAATCACTTAGGGAGTATGAATCATCTCTTTTTTTGTTTATTTGTACTTATTTTTTGTGCTGATTTATGATGTCAGCTTCAAGCTGACTTCCCTTTCCTTTGCTCCACACACCTTGTGTTGTTCTTTTTCAGCATCCTGTGTATGTTAACTCTAAGCCCAACCAAGCCCCACGCCCTCCACTTCAGGGACAGAGGGTGGCTCATCCCTTTGCTGCTCCCTCAGCTCCCTGCCAGTGCCTGGTTGCTGGTTGGCATCACAGTCATGCCTTTGAATGGTGGGCACTGGTCCACACTGCATCTGTGGTCATGCAGTCATCCTCCCTCCACAGAGCGGGGCAAAAAGGGCTCCACCACGCTTAGACATTGAGGGAAGGGATGTTTTGAAAGGCGCTGTCTCCTGTGTTCCCACAGGGGAGAAGGAGGTTCCTTGAATGGGAGTGGTCTGTTGCTGAGAGGGGTCCTGAAAGGCAGGAGGACAGAGATAGAGGGAGAAGCTACATAATGAGGAAGGAGCTGAGAGCAAAGGAGCCCCTGTCAGAGGAATATCCTTGGGAAATAAAAGGCTGGCTCTGCCCTTTCTGCCAGGACATTCATCCCAACCCAGCCAATTCATACCTACCTTCTGTCAGAACTTAGAAAGGATGCAAAGCAATCAGGAAGAACCAGCCCCTGGGCCTGGGGAAACTGTCAGGAGCAGTGACATCACAGGAAAAACCACCAACCAAGGCCAAGGAGACCAGAGCCCAGCCCCTCGCCCAGAGGATCTCAGTCAGAGGCCCCATTTCAGACCCCAGGCTAGCATGGGCTGCAGGCTGCTCTGCTGTGCGCTGCTCTGCCTCCTGGGAGCAGGTGAGTTGGGTTCAAATTGCCTGTCCTTGAACTTCAAGCTTTTTCCTGTGGCTGCAGCAACAACCCTCCTCCTGGGCTCTGCCTGAATGTTGTCCCTTTTCCCCCACAGTCCCCATGGACACCGGAGTTACCCAGACCCCAAAACACCTGGTCATGGGAACGATGAATAAGAAGTCTTTGAAATGTGAACAACACCTGGGGCACAATGCTATGTACTGGTACAAGCAGAAAGCTAAGACGCCACTGGAGCTCATGTTCATCTACGGATTTCAAAAACAGACTGAAAACAATAGTGTGCCCAGTCGCTTCTCACCTGAATGCCCTGACAGCTCTCACTTATACCTTCACCTACACGCCCTGCAGCCAGAAGACTCGGCCCTGTATCTCTGTGCCAGTAGCCAAGACACAGCCTTGCAGAGTCACCGTCTCCCTGTGCAGAAACCTTAGGGGCTTCTCAGGAAGCCAACACGGAGGGCTCGGGTGAACACTTCCTGCAAGAGCCCCGACAGAGGCTTCAGAACACCATAGCACCTGCTCATTCATCTGTGTGGCAACTTTACATGCTGTACACATATTTATACGAGTGTGGGTTTTCTTTAGAGTGGTGACTCTGACCTTTCAGCTGCTCTGAAAACACATTCAGATCAGGTCTTTTTAAAATTCCTTTTAAAATTGTGAAATAAAGCACGCATGCTATAAAGGGGATTGTTTAAATTTTTTTTTCTTTTTCTTTTTTTTTGCATTTTAGGTTTTGGGGTACATGTGAAGAACATGCAAGATAGTTGCATAGGTACACACATGGCAGTGTGATTTGCTGCCTTCCTCTCCTTCACCTATATCTGGCATTTCTCCCCATGTTATTTCTCCCCAACTCCCCACTGCCGTCCCTCCCCCATGTAATTTAAGATTTTAAAGGAACCCTCTAAACAATCACCTGCATCCCACAGAGTCATACCCTGCACTGGGCCACACCGAGTCCTGTCAGGAGCCAAGTTCTTCTGACACTTTATGTCTGGTGGTCTCCAGGCCTCTCTTTCTTGGGAACCAAGGGGTCCCTTCTGTCACAGATTGCTGACACCCAAGGCCAAGCAGCACTGGGTTTTGGGGAATCATAGAGGCGACTTCCGGACAAGGGTCCCAGGGCAGGAGCCAGCTGGAGAGCACAGTAGACAACTCATCGTTTGGGGAATGGGTTTGAGAAATACCTATTACACCAATTCTACTATTCTGTATTCCGTCTTGTCTATCTCTGTTTTTCTTATTTAAACTCAAAACTAGAGCGTAAATTCCAGCCCTGATCAAAGCTCCAAATACGCACAGGCACCTTCTCTGAGCCCCGCAGGCAGCAAATGTGCCTCTGTCCACTCCCATCTGTTCAGAACCCGTGAACCATGATGTGGAACCTTCTTGACTCATCCACTTTCCCTCCCTTGACCTGAAGTGTCCTTGGTTTCAGGTCTCAACTCCTCACTGGATTTTTCTCTTCACACTGACACTGAAGGATGATTTTTCCCCCTTTGGCATCTTTATTCCAGCGTGTTAAATCATCAGGCCCAGAGTCCAATGTCTCTGGATTGTAGCTCTGCATTGGCCTTTAGAGAGGAGAGTGGGTCCTGACTGTTCTCCTCGTATCTTAACCTTGGCTAGGTTTCCTGAAATCTGTGCTTCTTGGGGGCTCCTCAGCTACACGATTTCACACAGGGTCTTCAGGCCTTCACCCCCAAGAAAACACAGAGGCAGGGCCTGAGGGCATCCGTGCACCCTCAGGAAACACAGAGGTCGGGCGGGCCTGGGGGCATCTGTGCACCCTCAGAAAACAAAGAGGCCAGATCTGGGGGCATCCGCATCCACTGTGGCACTAAGGCTCCCACTCCTCCAGTGGGGGATCCTGAGACTGGCTGCAGCCGAGACTATGACCTCACAAGATCTCCCCATTTGCACTGCTAATGACCAGAGCTTCAGCTGGAAGTGGCCTCAGCCCTGCATAATTCTGCCATGAGGAGACAGTAGGCTTCTATGCAAGATGATCTTTTGTCTCTTTGGAGCAGGTGAGTCCTGGGAAATTCTTATCCTGTTTACCTAATGCAAGTTCCAACATTTTGTTTCAGGCCCCTGTTTACTCCACAGGATACACGGAACCTGGAGTCAGCTAAACCCCTGACCGTGATGTCACAGATGAGAGAGAGCATGGCTCAGAGGGCCCATTTTCTGGTTCATAGATGACTCCTTCTCACTCTGGCCTCACATGGTGGGAGGGGCAGCTAGCTCTCTGGCATTTCTGTAAGGGCACTAACCCCTTAGGCCTTCATGACCTAATTCCCTCCCAAAGGCTTTACATCCTAATATCATCACATTAGGGCTTAAAATTTCAACATATGAATTTTGGGGACACAGACACTCAGATGATAGAAATTATCTTTCTTTTAGTATTCTTGGTGTCCCAGTGGTATCTAACATTGATTTCTAAAATGAAAGTGTAGATAAGATTGTCTCCATGTAAGGAAGGAGTCGGATAAGGAGGGATTTAAACCACTTCCACCATCTTGTTTTCTCACTGCAGTCTTGGGCTCACCACTCATATTCTTCATACTCCTGTCTGAAATAGCTTCCATCTTCCCAAAAGATTATAATCGTTATTGGTGAGTTTCTGATATTCATATTTCTTTCTTGCCTCATCGGGCTCATCTGGAGAAGAAGCCAGGAGATGACGCTAGTTTGCAACTTTAGGAGAAGTCCAATTCATGCGCTCATTTTTCACACATTTTAATAATATTATCTCGGACTGTTCTTATCTGAAATATAATAGTCATTTATCATGGGATATGAGGCATCTCTGAAGAAATCTCTATATTCTATTTTGTTTCTTTTTCTAGTTAAGGACTAGCCAGCAATCTAGAAATTTTATCTAATTGAACTCAAAAATTTCTAGGTATTCACTTTATGGTAGAATAATATACTAGTCCTTAACGTGAATGATACTGATGGCTCATATTTACATGATTTTATGTAGAAGCTTTCTATTATCCACAATCAGAAACTGCATCAGACACACCAGCTTCTATTATAAAAGGTTTTGGTGAGTTATGTATGCACAAAATTCATAAAAAGTATTCAGTTGCAGAACATTGCCATCTGGGCTTCAGAGAATTTTGCCTGTTTTATATCCATGGATGCTCCCTCATTGTGGCATTTTCCTCCTCTGGAGGGCATCTTGGAAGAGGTGCTGGTCACTGACTATAGTTCATGGGCCTGTTGGCTAGTGACCACCAATGTCAGATGCAGCTGGATCGGAACCTCTTCTTATTGATGTCCCATGGCGTTGTTTACCTTTGGACTTAGAAAGTCCAGAAATAGTTTAGATGGCATTTGTTCTATGTATTTAACTGTTCTTAAGATTTGATAATTGATATGACAAATGTAGATATTGAAACAAATCCAGATTAGAAATAAACTAAATCAGAAGTAGCAAGTGGGCTTGGCACGGTGGCTCATGCCTGTAATCCCAGCACTTTGGAAGGCCGAGTCGGGCAGATCATGAGGTCAGGAGACTGAGACCATCCTGGCTAACACAGTAAAACGCTGTCTCTACTAAAAATACAAAAAAATTAGCTGGGCGTGGTGATGCGTGCCTGTAGTCCCAGCTACTCGAGAGGCTGAGGCAGGAGAGTCGCTAGAACCTGGGAGGCAGAGGTTGCGGTGAGCCGAGATTGCGCCACAGCATTCCAGCCTGGGCGACAGAGCGAGACGGTAGCAAGTGAAGGATAGCGGTTCTGAAATGGAATCCTTCTCAGATTCTGTTTTCCAAAGTCTCCTGTTTGTGTTTTTAATTCCACATGAACCCAAACAGTCTCTCCTTCCTAGTATGCTAAGTGTAGAACCATGAAGAAAATGTTAGAAATTTAGTCATTATCTGTACATATCTTACTCATATATGGGAAAGTGGGCATCAGAATATTGTCAAAGAATACAGGTAAAAAGAGGTTTTTTTTATTAATTGTACTTTAGGTTCTGGGTTACACATGCAGATCATGCAGGATTGTTGCATAGGTACATACATGGCAAGGTGGTTTGCTGCCTCCATCCACCTATATCTGGGATTTCTCCCCATGTTATCCCTCCTCAACCTCCCACCCCTTGCTGTCCCTCCCCTAACCACCCCCCAACAGACCCCAGTGTGATGCTCCCCTCCCTGTGCTTATTGTTCAACACCCGCCTATGATCGAGAACATACGGTATTTGGTTTTCTGTTCTTGTGTCAGTTTGCTGAGAATGATGGTTTCCAGATTCATCCATATCTCTAAGAAGAACATGAACTCATCCTTCAAAAAGAGGATTTTTTTCAAAAGAGAGGATAGATGGGAAAGAAACAAATTCCCCAGCAGCATGGGAACAGCGAGTATGATTTTCTTTATTTCCGGTTATGCTGATTAGCAGGCACCTAGCACAGAGTGCTCTAAGATGTCTATTGGTTCCAAATTCATCCCAAAATTCTTGAGTCTGCCTGTGGTGAGGAAGACAGGCAGGCTTGGTGTGATTTCTAGCACAGACCTTCCTGGAGCACATCCACCTGAGTGAGGCCAGGTTTTCACCCTCTCCTTCATCAGAATTTTATCAAAGGCAGACGTTTCTCCATCACTTTTTTTCCCTCTTACCATACAAAAAGGATCTTGAAAGAGATAAATATCACATTTTTTGGGCTTTATATTGTTTCTATAGAGAAAAAAAAGCATATTGGCTCCTAATTTAAACACATCCCAGGTCCTTGCACCATGGCAGAAGGGCTGTATTGGTCAGCTCAGAGTTGTAGCTAAACACCAACTTTTCTCACATTTCTGGAGGATGGACTCTGAGTTGACCTCCTCCTGGCTTGCAGAGCACCCCCTGGTGGTTGAATCCTCACACAGTAGAAAGAAAGCAAGCCGGCTGTCAGATGTCTCAACTCAACAGGGCACTAATCATACTGGATCCAGGCTCCATCCTTATGACCCCATTAAACCTTAATTACCTCTATAGAGGCTCTATCTCCAAATATGGTCTCCCTGCGGGTTGTAATTTTGGGGGACATAAACATTCAAATCGTAACAATGGCAAAATCTCGGTTACTTCACAGTGGGCCACACAGGGCCAAATGTCTGAGCTCCAAATGTCTCTGGAGCATGCACAGAGCCAGTGGCCTGGGACACAGAGGGTTAAGGAGCAGCCTTGCTTGATGCCTGTACTCATTAGAAGGTGTGATGCCACATACATAAAATTGCAGGTGTGATTCCCATCAGGGAGCCATGCACTTCAGCTACGCAGGGGTTAGGAAGTCTCTGTGAGCTTGCAACGGAGGATGAAGGGGCCCTGTTGGGTTGGTACAACCCGCACGCCCTGGGCAGGGACAGCCAGAGGAACAACTGCCTAAAGAAAAAAGCAAAAGAACTGTGGGAGGGACATGCAGCCTAACCCCAGCCCAGCTAAGAGCAGCCCAGTCCAGCCCTATGTGGTATGTGAGAATATTTACAGCACAAAGCAGGTAAGCCAGGGACCTAACAAGGGAGGCAGGGTGCATGGGAACCTGCAGGGACTATGACATCAGAGCAGTGACATCACAGCCTAACATCTGAATCAGAGATGTGATGCCCAAAACCCCAGCTCTCAGAGGACCAGTACCCCTAGCAGGTTGACATCTGCCCAGCTCTGTCTCACCTGGCCATAGGCTCCAGGTGCCTCTGATGGAAAGGCCTTTGTCTCCTGGGAGTGGGTGAGTCTTTGGCACAGGTGGGATGTCCCTGGAGCATGCCTCATCTAAGGCACCCTCAGGCTCCCTCCTGTGTTCTTTCCCCAGCCTCTCTCTCCCTCCCTCACAGGCACAGTGGATTCTGCTGTACAGAACAGGGAGCACTGCATCTCAGGAAGCCTGCAAGGGGAGGACACAGCACAGTGACATCACAGGATACCCCTCCCATCAGGAAAAGCGAGGCTGAGAACTCAGCTCCTCCCCAGGAGGACCGAGCCCTGAGCACAGACACAGTGTTGCCTGACCCTTCGTGCCATGGTCTCCAGGCTGCTCTGTTGGGTGCTGCTTTGTCTCCCAGGAGCAGGTGAGTCCCTGCAGACAGGACAGCACTCCCATTCTGAGCTTGCCCCCACCCCTGTGTCCTCCACTTTACCTTGGGGAGGAGGTACCACCAGGCTGTCTCCTGTGCTCATTTTCCATCTGCTTTTCCCACAGGCCTGGGAGAGGCTCAAGTCACCCAAACTCCAAGACACCTGATCAAAATGAGAGGACAGCAAGTGACTCTGAGATGCTCTCCTATCTCTGGGCACACCAGCGTGTCCTGGTACCAACAGGCCCCAGGACAGGGCCCTCAGTTCATCTTTGAATACTACAATGAGATGCCGAATGAAAAAGGAAACTTTCCTGCTCGATTCTCAGGGCTCCAGTTCTCTAACTATAGCTCTGAGATGAATGTGAGCGCCTTGGAGCTGGGGGACTCAGCCCTTTATCTTTGTGCCAGCAGATTGGCACAGCCCTACAAAGCCAACCACATTCTGTGCACAAACCTCCCTGGCCCAATGTGGAGCAACCTCAGCCCTGATGTATCTGTGAGAATCTGGGGACTGCAGGGGGAAAGAAAGGTAATTTAGGATGCTAGGACCCACAGCCTGGGGCTTTCTGCTATTCAGGGCTGGAAGAAACAAGGCCAAGAGGGGCTGCTCAGAGGATGATGATGCTTCCATAGGCTCACTGCAGAATTACGTTCTCTGTTTGATACTATAAGCTACAGGGTAGAGGACATGTTCATAGTATAACAGCAGCACTCTCTTTTAGAGGGCAGGGAATTCCATTTTGGGGTCAAGATTCTTGGTAACAGCACAGTGATGAAGGTAAAATCACTGGAGTTTGCTTTGTATAATTTAGGGTGAAGAAACTGAGATTTGGGAAAAAGTGGAGGAGAGAGAACAAGATTTAAGATTTTTGAAAGTAGAGATAGGGCGGAAGGTGATGAGAAGTGGTGTTTTGTGTACCCGAAGCTCTCTTCTCACCCTTCCCCAAATTTTCAATATCTAGAAAATATAAAGGAAGTACTTACAGCAACTAGCATCACTGGTGACCAGTCCCAGTTGGGGATATCACCAAAGAGCCACTTGCCTGGCGTGAGAGTCCTGGAGTTGGTTCTGCAGTCTTCCCTGTGGTCCTCTGGCCTGAATCTGATCTCTTCAGGGCACAAATCAAGTACTTTCCAAAACACAGATGAGGTCATTTTACCCTTGAAGGTAAACAGGTAAAGGCACTCCAGTTTCCCTCAAATGTGTTGTATTTTCCTGGGATGTCTTTCTGAAATTCATCACCCAGATCCAATTACCATCTGTGATCAAACAGCTCTTTAAACATTTCCTAAAACTCAGCAGCCTTTAGACGCTCTGCAATTGTCCTTGCTATTTCCATGGACTGGAAGAACATTTGTTCTCCTAATACAGCAGCAGATACTGATCATCTGTCAAGGGGAGGCTCATACCTGCCTTCCTCTTCACTTCCTACTGTGACATTCCCTGGGACTGCACTGTGTCACTCTCTTTCCTTTATTTTCATAAGAAAAGCCAGGTTTGCAATTGATTCTATTTGATGTTTGCAAAGTGAGTAAGTGAATGCCCACTTGTACCGAGTCCTGGAAGATGATTAATTACTGCCTTCCGTTCACCAAGGATTCTTCTTACCTGAAGTATCATGGATAGTGATTATGAATAGTCTCAGTATTTCATACAACCTCTGCTAATATTCTGAGCAATTGTGTCGTCACAGTCTGGATTGATGGCCAGTGCTGCAAAGTATCCTAACTATATCTAACGCTGCAATTTACAAATGTTCTTTTGGAGCAAAAAAATCACGTTATAGTAATATTTATTCAGTCTCATGATTCTGTAAAAATATTCCTTGCCATAACCACAGTTTCCCCAACCACATCTTTAGAGATTTGATGAGGCTGGAACCTCATCAAGGGTGCTTTTCAGAAATCAGCCTAAAACGGAAAGGAAAGTCAGCTGTGCGCAGTCATGGAATGTTATCATCTTTGGCAAGTAAAAGATATTGTGTGTGTGAATGTGTGTGTGTGTGTGCATGTGTGTGTGTGTGCATGTGTATGTGTGTGTGCATGTACATGTACGTGGGCACGTGTGTGTGTGTTCTTGTGGAGACTCACCCACATGGACATAGTTTCTCTGGTGGCATTACTAAGAGGTGCTAAGTCACTTGTGGAGCTCATTGGCACTTCTGGGGAGTGACAGGAAATGTCACAGCCAATTGAATCTGCTTGAGTTAGAGCTGATAGGGTTGTTTATTTCAAGATTTTCTAAGTTCAGAAATAAATTTTATAAAAATTTAAAAATCCTATTTATAAAACACACTATCTAAAATTTGCTAATATTTCATTTAAATAATTCATTAACCAACATTTTGATTGCAAAATACACAATGTTACAGCATGGCAATTAGTACAAAGCATGAAAATGTGGGTCTGAGTAATCAAAAGGAACTATTGAATACAGCTTCCAGGCTAGGCCTGCTTGATAGCTTCACGCTGTTTAAATCTGTGGCCTGTATTTTTCAGGCTCCTCTCATGCATCCTAGCATGCTAATTGCAATGCTGTAACACTGTTCATTTTGCAATCAAAATGTTGGTTAATGCATGCTTTTGCCTTCACTAGCTAAGGTGGACTTTAAGATCAGCACTAGGCCCAGCGCCATGGCTCATACCTGTAATCCCAGCACTTTGGGAGACCAAGGTGGGTAGGATCACCTGAGGTCAGAGTTCGAGACCAGCCTGACCAACATGGAGAAACCCCGTCTCTGTTAAAAATACAAAATTAGCTGGGCGTGGTGGTGCATGCCTGTAATCCCAGCTACTTGGGAGGCTGAGGCAGGAGAATTGCTTGAACCTGGGAGGCAGAGGTTGTGGTGAGCCGAGATTACACCATTGAACTCCAGCCTGGGCAACAAGAGCAAAACATCGTTTCAAAAAAAAAAATCAACCCTAAATTGGCCCTTCTGGGAAAGCATAGAGAGGGCATGTGTGAGAGAGTAGGGGTTGCAGGAGTGAGAGCAGGCCATTTCTGTTCCTTCTTTGGATAATCTTGAGCTCACCAGGTCAGGTGTGAATCCATGAGACTCTGGATTTTTGGCCACTTGGAGGCGCTGTGGCTCCACAGTGCTGCAGAGAACTCAGTGGAGGGCTGGAGAGTGGCCAGGAGGGGAGGGCTGAAGGGGACGCCTGGTTGCTTGCTGGCATCAGGGGCCCTTTGAGATTCCCTGAGTGGGGCCTGGACATGTGAAGTTAAACACTGACACCCAACTGCCAAGGAAGGGTAGGAGTGCTAGAAGCCTCAGTTTGCACCAAGAAGGGAGTGTCTCTGCCTCTGTATGGGCAGTGTGGGTGAAGAGGCTGGGGTGGGAAGGGCTGGGAATGAGTGTCAGGTCTAGGACAGGGAGGGCAGAGGAAAGGACGGTGTGATGTGGGCGTGTGGGGACTGCATTCCCCCGCCACATTTTTAATTTCAGGGCTGTGTAGGACTGGAAGATCTCGTGGAGTAGCAAAGCTTGGGCCCTGCCAGTAGTTGCAGTGTGCAGGGGTGGCCTGCAGAGTCACTGGGAAAGGCCAGTTCCCTGAGGATATGCCAGAAACTTCCCTGCCCCTGTTCACGAAGTGACCTTGAGACAGGTGCATCCAGCTAGAGGGGCTCAGGCCCTGCTCAGCTGACAGGATTTTCTTTCCCAGGCCTTCTCTGCTGCTTCTCTATGTGATCTCCTTTAATGCTCACTGAAATCACAAGTATTTATTTTTGTGCCTGTTTTTTTTTAATCTGAAGGAAGGCAGCTGACTCTGGTCTCATATTTAATAACTGGGTATCGTATGCTCTCCAACACCTCCCCACCCTCCTCTGCTCTGTACATCTGTCCCCTCATCTGGCTTCCTCATTCTAGGTCCCATTAGCAGGAGGGGAAGGTCATGCCTCCTATGCGACCATTATAACCTCTTCCTTGACCAGTCCAAGAAACATATGACTTCGAGGCTAAGCATATCCATTCATCCTTCATTGTAGCAAAAGGAAAGATAAAATTTTCTACACTGTAGAATTTCTGTAACTGATGCAATCTACCTTGAGGAAAAGTAACATGAGTAATTGTTATCCATTACTTATTTTATTTTATATCTTTTATTCGACAAAGTTTTGAGGCCCTTTCTTTGTCTATTTTATGACATAAAATTAAAAATGAAAAACTGTTTAATAAAAAATATTTCTTACTTTTTAGAGTATTAAGGCTTGAATTTATTTTGTTTTATTTTAGTTTCACTTATTCAAAGTACTTTACTTAGTTTCTGAATAACACAAATTTCCTTTTCTTGCTCTTTCTCTCTTTAGCTACCTCCCTCGTTTTTGCCGGCTTTTTAATTTAATGTGGTAAGAACATTTAACATGAGATCTGTATTTCAAATAGATTTTGAAGTGTACAATACAGTATTGTAATGTACAAGTACAAGGTTGTACAGAAGCCCTCTAGATCTTACTCATCTTGCTGAATTGAATTTATTTACAGACTGAGCCTTGCTCTGTCTCCCAGGCTGGAGTGCAGTGGTGTGAACTCAGTTCACTGCAACCTCCACCTCCTGAGTTCAGGTGAGTCTCCTGCCTCAGCCTCCTGAGTAGCTGAGACTACAGGCGTGCACCACACCTGGCTAATTTTTGTATTTTTAGTAGAGACGCGTTTTCATTATATTAGCCAAGCTGGTCTCGAACTCCTGACCTCATGATCCACCCACCTCAGCCTCCCAAAGTGCTGAGATTACAGGCGTGAGCCACTGCGCCTGGCCACTTAATTGAAATTTTATACCTGCTGACAGCAACTGCCCATTTCCTCCACTCCCAGCCCTCGGATATCACCATTTTTGTTTTTGCTTCCATGAGTTCAGCTTTTAGGTGGCCTGCTATACAGAATCATGCAGTATTTGTCTTTCTGTGCCAGGCTTATTCACTTAGCACAATGTCATGCAGCTTTATCCATGTTACCATGAATGGCTGGATGTTCTTCTTTTTAACGCTTAATAATATTCCATTGTATGAATATACCACGTTTATGGTCTTTGACTGTTTCTATGAAACCCTCTGTCACATGAGTGGCAGAGTCATTTGCAGAACGGAAAGCATGGATTACATTAATGCACATTCACATTTCAGTTCTGCTCCATGGACAAGATTTCGAAAAAAATAATAATTCTGTCATTTGCCATTATTTTACTGTACATAAAATAGAAGTCCTTCATTTGGGAAGTTTCAATTATTTAGAAATTCAACTGCCGGAAGGAAACCCTAAGACACAAATGCTTTTCTCATTGTACACATGAGAGAATTGGCCCATCAGTTAAATAACTTGACCAAATTAAATAGCGATTAGGATGCAGTATTGGGACTCCAACTCTGCCCAGTCTAAGATCCGTGTTTACAGCTTTATGCTGTAAACTATTTCATAAAGCTTCCAACCTACAAAAAATTGGAATGTTTTCCCCTATATCCCTTTTAGACCTGCTGGCTCTAATAGCATCATAGTTGGAGATCAGTGTACCCTGCAGACAGTGGTGAAGGGAAAGAAGTCCGAAGAGGTGCCATGACACCCAGTCCTGGCTCCCATTCTAACACCAGCTCATCAAGACCTGAGGCCAGCTCTTGACAGGTTAAGTTTAGTTTCTTAACTTTTTTATCTATCAAATGAAACTACTAACGTCCATCAACAGAGTTCTATATAAAATTGAGTAGCTACTGGGCACGGTGGCTACGCCTATAATCCCAGCACTTTGGGAGGCTGAGGCGGGCAGATCACCTGAGGTCAAGAGATCGAGACTAGCCTGACCAACATGGAGAAACCTCGTCTCTACTAAATATACAAAATTAGTCAAGCGTGGTGTCGCGTACCTGTAATCCCAGCTACTCGGGAGGCTGAGGGAGGAGAATTGCTTGAACCCAGAAGGCAGAGGTTGTAGTGAGCCAAGATAGTGCCATTGCATTCCAGCCTGGGCAACAAGAGAAACTCCGTCTCAAAAAAAAAAAAAAGAAAAAAAATGTAATAGCATAAAGTATCTAGCATATAGTGGAAGCCTAGATACTTTGATTCCCTTTGCTCATCTCAGACAACCTCTTCCACTACGCCAACGTGCAAAGACAGATATGGACACATTCTGCCAAGAAATCTTAGCTTGAGGACTCAGAAGTCACAGAAATGGACATATATATGCCTGATAATTCATTTGATAAAATTAACTAGAGGATGTAGCTTACATATCCCCTCAGACATTTAAAAGTCAACATGATTGATATCTAAACCTTTTAAATAAACAGATCAGTGATTTTTGAGCAACATATATGTTCATACGCATGCAACCCCACCTCTATGAAGATGTAGAACATCTGTGTCACCCAGAAAGTCCCTCACGCCCCTCTGCAGTACCTCTCTTTGTCCCCAACAACCTATGATGTCACTTCTATCACTGGAGAGTAGTTTTGTTCACAAATATTTTTGATGAAAATTTAAAACCTCTTCTGATTAATCCTCTTTAATACATAGCTAAATCACCAAGGCAGGGGGGTGTTCCTGGAAGGTTTTAGAAGGGGTTGAAGCCACGTGAGCTACCTGATCCATGTTAGGGACAATTCTATCTGGAGATGGACGTTGTGCTGAAATAACCTTAAAAGGACTCTTCGACTGGTAGAAGCTGATTCTACAAAATGTATTTATTTTTATTCATTTATTTTCTCACCAACTCATGCAATCAAATAATTTTATGTTATGTATTGACAAAAATTAATCATCTTTATGGAAATTATTTTGAGTTCCCATCAGACACACATGCAGCTGGGCTTTGTGTTCACATAGTGAGCATGTGGGGTCTAGCAAACCATGGAAACAGTGACTTCATTGACAGATGATATCTTATTGGGAGAAAGGTTCTCTTGGACTTGACCACAAGTGTCCAACCCATAAAACCTGAGCCTTGAGCTAAAATCCATCTTCCTGTTCTGTTCCTGCCCTGGGCACCAGGCCACTGTCCCATGCATGTCTCTGTCTTCTGAACCAGAGTCCTGGGCACACATATGGAACCTATTTGTGGGCTCGTTGGCTCCCAGGGGACTTGGGGACTAGACGGGGAGAGTGGGTGGGGTCGAGGGAAAAAATACTACAAATATGGTGCAGGATATACTGCTGGGGTGATGGGTGAACCAAAATCCCACACTTCACCACTAAAAAACTTACTCATGTAACCAAACACCACCTGTACCCCAACAACACGAAAAAATAAAAACTAAACTAAAATAAGTACTGTGACTTGCAGTACCAGGCGGCCCTTTGCTGTGACTTTATGTGTCCTTTCTTCTTAAGTCCCATAGACGCTGAGTGACCCAGACCCTGGTCAAGCTCTTGTGCTGACAGGAAGCCAGCACAGGGGGAGGCAAGCAGAATATGGAACAAAATCATGCATTTACCACCAGTGGCAAGTCCTTTGTTCAAACACTGTTAAGAATTTGAAGATCATGAAAGCAGAGTGTAAAATCAAGTGCAGGGTCCTTCCAAATGTGGGGCTCTGTGCACCAAAGAGAGTTTTTGAGCTCCTTTTATTTTATTTTATTTTTTTTGAAAAACACTCCATGTTCATGGCTGTAGGCTATGACAGAAATATTTTTTTAGTTTAATTTGTATTTTTCCATACGTTATTGAGGTACAGGTGGTATTTGCTTACATGAGTAAGTTCTTTAGTGATGATTTATGAGACTTTGTTGCACCCATCACCTGAGCAGTACACACTGCACCATATTTGTAGTCTTTTTTCCCTCCCACTCTCCCCACCAAGTCCCCAAAGTCCATTGTATCATTCTTATGGCTTTGTGTCCTCATAGCTTAGCTCCCACATATCAGTGAGAACATATTATGTTTGGTTTTCTATACCTGAGTTGCTCCGCTTACAGTAATAGTCTCCCATCTCATCCAGGTCACTGCAAATGCTGTTAATTCATTCTTTTTTATGGCTGCATAGTATTTCATCATATATCACAGTTTCTTTACCCACTTGTTGATGGATGGGCATTTGGGTTGGTTTCTTTTTATTTATTACTAAATTAATGGTAGGAATCCTGCACAAAGGGATATCTCCTATGAAATATGTCATCTCAATAATCCCAGAGCATTCTTCCTTACCCTAAAGTCTGCCATGTCTCCCCAACTCCCTTACACATCAGGACTCCTTTGTGCCCATAGGTCATGGGCAGAGCTGGGCAGCCACCAATGTCTACACAGAGAAGGCAGTCACCAGCATGAGGTGGTTCTGCCTGCTGCGATCTCACCACTGACACAGAACACAAGAGCTGTGGGTGGAGCTGAAGGTGCTCAGCTGGGCTTGTCAGGAGTCCCATCTGTCAGTGAGTTGACAAGAAACAGAGCAAAACGACTCCTTCAATGTTGATGAGCCTGCCCCTGGGATTTGGAGACCTGATAACAGAGAAAACCAAGATAGGCACAGGACTTCAACAGGATTATGGTCAATTAAGCAAATTAGAAAAGGATTCTTGAAGGAGTATCTGGGACACAGGAGTCAAAAACACCAGGAAGACAAGATGATTTTTTTTCTAAGATTTTGTACTATAGCAATACTTAGATAACCAGTACCAGTGTATTAATGAGTAATTATTATTATTATTATTTTGAGATGGAGTCTTACTCTATCATCCAGGATGGAGTGCAGTGGCACAATCTCAACTCACTGCAAACTGCATCCCTGGTTCAAGTGATTCTCGTGCCTCAGCCTCCCGAGTAACTGGGACTACAGGTGTGTGCCAGCATGCCTGGTTGATTTCTGTATTTTCAGTATTGATGGGGTTTTGCCATGTTGGCCAGGCTGGTCTCCAACTCCTGGCTTCAGGTGATCTGATCTCTTCAGCCTCCCAAAGGGCTAGGATTGCAGGTGTGGGCCACCATGCACAGCCAAGTAATTATATCACCATGGGAATAAAAAATATACATTGAGTTACAAAATCATTACCAAAAGATTTTTTAAAAATGTAGACTTACATCAATTCAGACAAAGACATTCTTCCCATCCAACCTGTTCACTGGTGCATTTATCTTGAATTTGACTATCTGGGGAAGAGGCGTGGCCTCTCCTGACAGGAAGGCACTAGGGCCCAGGCAGGGAGCATGAGATCTCAGAATGACTCCCTTGAGAGCCTTGTTCCCTGTTCATCAACACGGAGACCCAGAAGACTCCTCCTTCCTGCAGCACTGCCATGAGCATCAGCCTCCTGTGCTGTGCGGCCTTTTGTCTCCTGTGGGCAGGTGGGTCCTGGCCAGACTCCTGCGTGGATTTCAAGGCCCAGCACCTTCCCATTGGGTCTGCAGCATGGGCTTTGTTCTCCTTCTCTGCAGGTCCAGTAACTGCTGGTGTCACTCAGACCCCAAAATTCCAGGTCTTGAAGACACGACAGAGCATGACGCTGCAGTGTACCCAGGATATGAACCATGATGGCATGTACTGGTATCGACAAGACCCAGGCATGGGGCTGAGGCTGATTCATTACTCAGTTGGTGAAGGTACCACTGACAAAGGAGAAGTCCACGATGGCTACAATGTCTCCAGACCAAACAGAGAGGAGTTCCTGCTCAGGCTGGAGTCAGCTGCTCCCTTCCAGACATCTGTGTACTTCTGTGCCAGCAGTTACTCCACAGTGCTGCAAGGCTGTCTCCTCTCTGCACATAAATGCAGGAAGGCTCTGCCCTCCTCCCCACCCCAGATTCAGCGATGTCCTTGGTCCTAGCACCAGAAACTTTGGAGCCCCAGTGGGCCCGGGCAGTGTGAGCCTTGGTCTGGGCCAGGTGCCTCTGCAGTCAGTCTGATCCAGGCCTGGACTGGTTGCAGGCCCTCAGATGTCTTCTTTGCTGCCCTTTTGTCTTTCCTCTGAGCAGTCCATTTGGGATGGGGCTGGGGGGTTCCCATCTCTGACTTTCCTAGTCATTCACCTGAGTCTGAGGACTCCTAGATGGAATAGGATTTGTATTTCAGATCCATCTAGACTCCTGTCTCTACCTGGGTACCACATGCTTTCCTCTCTCTATGATTTTCCTCATACAGAACCCAAATGTGGTCTTAGTTGCAGTCTGCATTTCCTATATTCACAGTTTCCCTCCAAGGCCTTACTGGGTTTCTCCTCCCCAGTCTCCTGCCCTTCTCTACTCCAGCCAGGTTGAGACACTCCAAAGTCCATTTCCTGTGCCCTGGGCTGGAACCTTCCTTTCTGTAATGGTCAACACCTACCTGTACTTCAGATCTCATCATGATCAGCCCTAATGATAATCACCATTATGTTTCCCTTGGCTCCCAGCTGAGGTCAGTTTCCCTCTCATAATCTCTCATGGTATCCTATGTCTGTTAGTCAGTAGAATGTAGCACAATTGGAATCTTCCAGACACTTTAAACCGCATGAAGGCCAAGGCTATGCCTGCTTTATATACCAACAGCAGTGCCTGGAACACGGGGAGACCCATTTCATAGAGAATGGATGAGTCAATGACTAAGTGATGAGTGGATGGATGGATGAATACCAGGAGCACCCTAGATCCATTTTACCCCGGCAGAGATCTGGCATGAAGGACGGGAAACCTTACCCCTTTGATTGCTGGGCTAGGGTAGGTCCTTGAAATTAATGGGGAGTCGATATCGGAGTGGCCACCCCTAGGTCAAGGCTTCCTCCTGTGTTCGCAGCACTAGGCCTCCTCCAGGTCCCTGTGGCCTCCTTCAGGCTCCTTTCCCCACAACAAATGTAGACAGATCAGAGATCCATTTCCAGAAACCCATGCATACAGTTTTGGCTTTTTTTTTTTTTTTTTAACCACTTCTGGTATTAAAAACTCCATTAGGTTTACATCAACAAAATGTAAAACTACTATGGAGAGGAGGATTTATGATGGGAATTAGGCCTTATATAAATGTAGGGGGATCTGAGGAAGAGAAGGTCTGGAGGGGAGATCTAGCCAGGCAGGTTTAATTTATGATTAATGTGAAATCCTATTCTACTCAAAGGAGAGCATATGATTCCAACATAAAAAATATATATATTGACTTGTCAAGGCATGGTGGTTCATGCCTATAATTCCAGCACTTTGGGAAGCTAAGGTGAGTGGATCACAAGGTCAAGAGATAGAGACCATCCTGGCCAACATGGTGAAACACCATCTCTACTAAAAATACAAAAATTAGCCGGGCATGGTGGCATGCACCTGCAGTCCCAGCTACTTGGGAGGCTGAGGTGGAGGATCATTTGAACCTGGGAGGTGGAGGTTGTAGTGAGCCGAGATCGCACCACTGCACTCCAGCCTAGTGACAGAACAAGATTCCATCTCAAAAAACAAACAACAACAACAAAAGTAATTGATTTTTCTTTGTAATAGTTGGACCTAAATAGTGAGCTATTTGGTTCCATAATTGTCTTAAGTTGGCTAATGGTGGAAAAAACCTTTGATGCTAGGAGTTCGATTTTCTTGGAAGAACAGGGAAAAAATGTCATGCATATTCAGTCTTACATGCTGTATTTTACGGAGGAACCATAATAAAAAGGAAACAGAAAATCAGAATTCTCTTCTGGAACCTACATTGGGGCTATCCTCTGAGCAGGTTGTGATGTGAGGAATCTAATCTATGGGGGATATTTTGCAGCTCAGAGTGTAGCAGACAGTTCCTGACTCCATGCATTTGGGGGTGAGACCAGAGACAGCTGAAAAAGCTACGGAGTCTTGACATTCTGTACTCTCAACCCTGCCCTCTCTGGACTTTCACAGATTAACATCAGAGCAATTTACTTCCACTATTTAAAATACTAAAACAAAAGCCAACGAGGAGCAGTGAGCAGAAGCAATTAAAGTGTATAATGTTTTATTGAAAAAATAATTTTTTTGAGACAAAGTTTTGCTCTTGTTGCCCAGGCTGGAGTACAATGGCGCGATCTCGGCTCACTGCAAACTCTGCCTCCCGGCTTCAAGCGATTCTCCTACTTCAGAGTCTGGAGTAGCTGGGATTACAGGCATGCACCACCACACCCAGCTAATTTTGTATTTTTAGTAGAGACGGGTTTTCTGCATGTTGGTCAGGTTGGTCTCGAACTCCTGACCTCAAGTGATCCACCTGCCTCAGCCTCGCAAAATGCTGGGATTACAGGCATGAGCCCCTGTGCCCGGCCTTATTGAAATTTTTCTTTTTTTTTCTTGTATATAATTGAAGTTTTAGAAAGAGAAAACAGGGGAAATGGCCTGAGGTGACCGTATATGTGATGTTAGCTGAGAATGTTCCTGAGATGTTTGAGGACCTAAATCCTCTTTCAAGAATTCAGATGAATTGCAAGACAAATAGGCAGGTCCCAGTGAAATTGCAGAACATAAATGACAAAGAGAAGATTTTTAACGGCAGTCAGAAGGGAACGGTAAATATCTTCCAGTGGAATAAAATGAAACAGTCAAGGTCAAGAAAGGATGACAAATAGGCATTAAATCAGAATTGTAGTCCTCATTTATTGAAGATTGAGATTGATAAAAATATCTATAGGACAGGAAAATAAAATACGGAAAACTAAAGAAAATGCTATGAATTTGCCATCAAGGTATCTTTTCTGAGTTACAGTTAACAAGGGTGGGAAATAGTCCCAGAAGAAAGGCATGAGGCGCAGCTCGCGAGGGAACCCCTGTGATGGGACAACCCCGTTGGGCACATGTGACTGTGGGGATGGAGGAGGTTGGGGCATGAATGGGGATGGCACTGGGGACCCTGATTTGCAGGAAAGACAATGAGCTCACCCCTTGGTGCCTTCTGTTGGGGGTGCTGTTGGCACATCCTAGAGAGCATGCCCAGCAGACAGAGGAACGGCTGTGGGATGAGGAGATGAACTCAGAGGTGCAGCGTGAGGCCTCTGGGTCCAGGCAGCATGGGAGCCCAAAGCGAAGACCTATGCAATAATATTGTTTAAAAGGAGCTTATAAATATTAAAAGTAGTCATCCACGTGTGTTGCAGTATAAATCCTGTGTTCCCAAGGATATGCAGATTGAGAAAGGAAGTGATGTCACAGTGGGAACTTCCATGTAAGGACAGGGACGTCCCTCCTTCTCTGCTCCTGCTCACAGTGACCCTGATCTGGTAAAGCCCCCATCCTGCCCTGACTGCCATGGGCACCAGGCTCCTCTGTTGGGCAGCCCTCTGCCTCCTGAGAGCAGGTGAGTCCTCAGACACCAAGCAGTTTCAGTCTCACTCTGTGTGTGTTTGTGTGTGTGAGTGTGTGTGTGTGTGTGTGTGTGTGTGTGTGTGTATGTAGGGGTGGGATGTATGTGTTCCTGTTATGGCTAAAATTGTTTTCCTCATTCTGTTCCCAACTTCTGTCTCCACAGATCACACAGGTGCTGGAGTCTCCCAGTCCCCCAGTAACAAGGTCACAGAGAAGGGAAAGGATGTAGTTCTCAGGTGTGACCCAATTTCAGGTCATAATGCCCTTTATTGGTACCGACAGAGCCTGGGGAAGGGCCTGGAGTTTCTAATTTACTTCCAAGGCAAGGATGCACCAGACAAATCAGGGCTGCCCAGTGATCGGTTCTTTGCAGAGAGAGATGGGGGATCCTTCTCCACTCTGCAGATCCGGCGCACAGAGCAGAAGGACTCGGCTGTGTATCTCTGTGCCAGCAGCTTAGCCACAGTGTGGCAGAGTCACCTCCTTCCTGCTCACAAACCTCATCCTTCTCTCCCCTTGCAGCTCCTAGAGACCTTTATCAGAGGCCTCCCTTTGTTCCTCCCTCCTCAAAGGAAACAAGTAGATTTGGACCTCGGCTGTCCTTTGGGTAGAAAGAAACCACAAATTCACCCCGAGACACAGCAACTGTAAATGTGGGTGGTGGAAGCTTCCAAACCAGCCAGCGTAATTCTGAGAGCTATGTGCTCTCAGCAACTTCAGACAACTCATCAGTCCTTTCTGCACTCAAACATCCCTTTGTCTGCCCTAAGACCCAGATCCACTTTGTCCACACGAAGATCCTATCATGAAAACGATGGGCTGTGCTATCGTGCTGATGCCCCATTTCTGGGAGTTGAGTATTAAGCACTGAAGAACTTTGAAAGTTGTGCTTCTGAATCCAATGATGTGCTGGAGCCAGATTTTCTGACTCACGAGAGAAAAATAAGCACACTCTTTCCATCTCCCCGTACGGTGAAGCCATGTTAACAGCTTGAAATCCACCATGGGGCCTTTGTTGCTACAACAGAAATTGGTGAAAGCTTCCACCACCCACATGTCCCCACCTCCACAGACATTCAGTTTACTAGCACATCACTGGAATGTCTTCTAAGACAATGATGTCCCTGTTATGCCATGTCTTGTGGGGCTGAAAGGACTCAAAATTCACCCCCTTTCTGCCCTTCCTTTTAGAAACTGCAGTCTAAGATAGCCTCAACTGATCCTATTTCTATTCAATCTTCAAATGCTCTTGACTTGTGGGTCTGTGTCTCCTATAAGCATGGCGGTCTGGAACATGACAACTATTTTGAATGTAGCTAAAGGAAACAGCAAACCAGTTCATTATTTTCAAATTATCCTCCCTTGCATGGAATATGTAGATGCTGCAGTCACTGGGAACAGAGATGGGGTAAGCAGCAGCTCTGGACTGGAAACCACTTTACTGCCAGACGATTCTTCAGTGGCAGAGACACACCCTGGGGCATGGACTAATTTGCTTTGGAAACTAAGCAGCTCCACACCAGTCAGCAATGACCTTGGATCCATTTTCAGATGAGAGGTCAAAAAGATCACACTTACTCTAAATGTCCTCCTCTCCAATATACAGTACAGGCCCCGTCCATCTCAGTCCCTGGAGGTCATCCAGAACTCCCAGAGAATCCCTGCTCTGGGGCAGAATCACCAAGGCTGGTCCTCGCCAGCTCCCCACAGGCTCCAGCAGGGCTTTCCTGCCAGGTGCAGGGCATGGGTGTGGCTCTGCTGCCTCTCAGGTAGAGGGAGGCCATACGATGATGTTTACATAAGAAGGACTGGGTTTCTGAGGCTCCTCTCAAATATTTGACATAATTTTATTTGCTTTTTGTTTCACTCTACAGTGTCACCATTTAGGAAAGCAATTATTTTTGGTTGCATTATTTATGGCCCTTTGAAAGAGTTTTGTGGTTAAACTAATTTAAGAAACCATCCCAATTGTGCATCTCTTCTGTTCAGAAATAATCTGAGGCAGTGAGAGAAACAGCAGTAATTTTGAAAGCAGTCACTTACACGTCCTGTGATGAAGGCATTGCTCAGGGTTTATTACTCACACCTAACTTTCAGTCTACTGGAAATTAAAGGACACAGAGTTGGGGGCATGTGATCAAGCCACAAGAGAGGACTTTGCCAGTTGCTGTGAGACTTCAGGGCAGGAATGACCTCTCCTTCAGTCCCTTCTCAACATTGAAGGAGTAAGAGTTGGTCCATGGGAAGCTGAGGAGGAGAAATTCTGGGAGCCTTTAACTGGGATGGAGCAAGGGCTGCAGAGCAAGTCATTGGAAAAAGAAATGGTTCATCTGGTCTGTCACAGAAGACAGTGGCTACAAAGGTCCTATAATCCCCAGTCCCCTGGCTAATTTGCTTCCTCATGATGCTATTTTGCACCAGCATGCCCTCATCTCACACCACTCCTCTGCCTCTTCCAGAATCATCTCCTCCCTCTCCGCTGCTCAGATCAGCAGACGTGCATTGTACAAGTTATTCTTTTTCTGTAGCAGGCCTTTTGCTGGTCTTATTTATATCCAGCCATATTTTCCCATAAGATACTGCTCGCTCCACGATTGCTTATTGCCTTGCAAGAGATCTTATTTTTTATATTCTAGTTTTACTTTTGATTAACACATATTTGACCCCATCTTGAAGGTAATCACATTATCTGCCCAGTCTTTTGCTAATCTTTATTTTTATGGTAGCATTGCCGTTTAGGGGGACATGTTTATTTTTGATAATGGAAAGGAAATAACATTACACTTCATTTTCTGTATTTTTTCCTTCTTTAGAGTAAATACGATTTCCTTCCATTCTTCCTATTCTATTCCTCTCTCTTTAGATAGTTTTAAGGGAGAAAATGTCAGTGTGACTATAACTGCATCTATGGGGTAAAAATTATTTAGAATGAGGGTAGGTTATTAAGCTTAGTAACTCAAAGAAACAGGGTTAAAGCTAGTGTTGGGATCCGGGTTGAGGGAAGTTGCTCATAAAACCTGCAGGATGGCACTTCTGGAATATTCCCCCAGCTCACTCTGCAGGAACTTCCCAGCATCCCCGGGCCACTGCAGAAGAAACAACGATGAAACTTTCACTCACTGGCCGCAAGATGGCACTATGATGCACTGGGATCTAAGGGACTGGGGAGATTGGGAAAGCAGCCTGGGAGGGAAATGGTTAAGAAAAATTAGGGCTTGGATCCAATATTACACAGATGTTTCAGCAGTTTTCAGTTATTGCTTGGCTACCTACAGATATGCAAGAGGTGGGAAGTTCCTCTAATCTTGATTGAGATCCCCAGCTGAAGCACTTTGGCTGGGCAGCCTTGGCTTCAGGGACAGGTGCAGACAGAGGAGCAACTGTCAGAGGAACATGGGAAAGAGAAGGGTGGGCTGTGCCCTAAGCCCAGTGCATCTCTGCTGCACCCCATCTTTCCTGCAGGTCTCACCAGGCATCAACGTCCATGAGAGAAGGTGGATCCTGCCTGAGCCTAGTGAGAAGTCCCTCAGGCTTTGTTTGTCTGGGAAAGTTATTATTTCCCCTTCATGTTTGAAGGATATTTTCATTGGGTATACTATTATTTTATTAACCTTTTTTTTTCAGCACTTTAAATATGTCATACTGCTATCTCTTGACCTGTAAGATTTGCACTGAAAAGTCTGCTGCTAGACCATATTGGAGTTCCCTTGCATGTTATCTGTTTATTTTCTCTCGCTGCTTTTAGAATCCTTTCTTTATCCCTGAAAACGGGAGTTGGATTATTCTCTTGATGTAGTCTTCTTTGACCTAAATGTTGGTGTTCTATAATCTTCTTGTACTTTAATATTGATAGCTTTCTCTACGTTTGGGAATTTCTTCTGTTATCATAGCTTTGAACAAACTTTCAGCCCTATCTCTTCCTCTACCTCCTCTTTAAGGTCAATAACTCTTAGAGTTGTCCTTATGAGGCTATTTTCTAAATCTTGTATGTATGCTTCATTATTTTTTATTCTTTTGTCTCTTCTGGTGGTATATTTTCGAATAGCCTGTCTTCAAGCTCGCTGATTCTTCTGCCTCATCAGTTGTGAGGTTGAAATCCCCATGCATTCATCAGAATGTCAATTGTATTTTCTGCTCCAGAATTTCTGATTGTTTTTAATTATTTAAATCTCTTCAGGATTCTGAATTTCTTGCCTGTGTTATCTTGAATTTTGTTGACACGTGGTGATTATTACAATTCAAGGCGAGATTGGGTGGGGACACAGAGCCAAACCATATCTGAGGGGGAGCTGCCACACACTTTTAAATGACAAGATCTTGCAAGAACTCACTCGCTCTCATGACGACAGCAGCAAGCCATGAAGGACCTGCCCCCATGAAATGCCACCCACCAGGCCCCACCTCCATCACTGGGGATTATAATTCAGCATGAAACATGGGTGGGGACTGTTAAGCACACTCTGAATGAAGAGACAGCCTAAACAGGCTTTGTGTAAGCAATAAGGCTATTTATTCACTCAGTGTGAGCGGGCCGAGTCCGAAAAGGGGGTCAGCAGAGGGTGGTGGGTTAGGAGCTGGTTTTATAGGTTTGGGGTAGGCTGTGGAAAGTTACAGTTCAGAGTGGTTTTTGCAGGCTAGGGGAGGCTGTCACAGGATCCAATGTCACAAGGTTGGCTTATTAGTTGAGGCAGGAACAATGGCAGAATGTCACAATATCGGTTAATCACACAGTGCAGGAACTAGCTATTCTTTTTTTGCAGTTTTTCTGTTACCTCAAACTTTCTGGCTCCAGGAGGCTATCTGGAGGTGCATGTGCAGGTCACAGGGGTCACCGTGGTTTGACTATGGTGCAGTCCATGGTGCGGTCAGTGCAAAGGACTTTACAGGGACAAATATTCAAACTCTATCATCCTGCCTTCTTTCCTCTCTCAGAACTCATGTCCGTCTCACATGGCAAAATGTAATTATGCCTTCCCAACCATCTCCCAAAGTCTTAACTCATTCCAGCACTAACTCAAGAGTCCAAAATCTAATGACTCATTTGAGACACCTTCTTCCTTGACTTCCGACTGTAGTCTTGACTCCTTGGGGCACAGTCAAGTACTTCCTAAAATACAGAGGAAGTCAGGTCACTCTGTATTTTAGGAAGTCTTGACACTCTAGTCAAGACTAGAGACACTTCCGACTCTAGTCTTGACTCCTTGGGGCACAGTCAAGTACTTCCTAAAATACAGAGGAAGTCAGGTCCTAGAGGGGCAAGTGCTCTCCAGTTTCTCCCAAGATAAAGTCTGCGTCCCTGGGATTCCTTTCTGATACTCAGTGCCCAGATTCAATGACCTTCTAATTAAACAGTCCTTTGAACATTTCCTAAAACTCATCGGACTTTTGTATCATCTGCATTTCTGTTCACTATTTCCATGGCCCGGAAACGTTTGTTATCTCCAGACACATCCAGACCCTGCTCATCTGTCAAGGATGGTTTCATACCTGCCTTACTCTTTGCGTCTTACCCTGACATTCCCAGGAACTGGTCTGTATCACTTATCTCTCTCTATCTTTCTT